CCAAAAAAAAAAAAAAAAAAAAAAGATACAGGTATAAAATCAAGTCAAAGTAGTTAAATAAGAGCCCTATGATCCCAATTTAAATTACAAAAGGAAAAAACCCAACATTTTCTAGCTTTGTCCACTGAAAAGGCCTAGGAGCAAAGTAGTAATGAATATCCCTAGCACTCAGATGGTGGTTTCTAAATGCCATTTCCCACTAAAAGGAACCAGAATGTTTTAGAGAAATCACTGTCTTAAACGTACAGCAGGAAATATTCAGGTTCAGCCTCAAATATTTTGTCATTTCAGAAAGCAAAAAAGATAACAAAAACTAGTCAGTCATATCAAAAAGAGATAGAAGCCAACATGAAGGGGCTCTCATCGATGCTACAATATGAGCATTAAGAAAATAGTGACTATAATGGATTAAAAAATATAAAATATAAAAAAATCCATAAGCTCATGATAATATTTTTTGTTTAGTTTTTAAAACATGAAAAACAGTATGGCTGTTCCTCAAATCATAAAACAAAGAATTACCATATGATCCAGCAATTTCACTTCTAGGTATATATTTAAAAGAATTGAAAGCAGAGACTCAAGCAGATATTTGTATTTCCATGTTCATAGCAACATTATTCACAATCGTCAAAAGTAGAAGCAACCCTAATGTCCATCAATGCATGAATGGATAAACAAAATGTGGTGTAAACGTACAATGTAATATCAGTGAGACAAAATAAATAAATAAGTTCTACTATTATATAAATATTTAAGTTTATATATTTAAGTTTATATATTATATAAATATTTAAGTATAAATATTTATATTTATTATATAAATAAATAAGTTCTATCTATATTGTACATACTACAATATAGATGAATCTTGAAAACATAATGCTAAGTGAAGCTAGCCAGAGACAAAAGGACAAATATTTTGATTCCACTTGTATGAGGTAAAAAATAGTCAAATTCAGAGATAAGGGCCGGCCTGTGGCTCACTTGGGGAGAGCGCAGTGCTGATAATACCAAGGCTATAGGTTCGGATCCTATATAGGGATGGCGGTTCGCTCACTGGCTGAGTGTGGTGCTGACAACACCAAGCCAAGGGTTAAGATCCCCTTACCAGCTGTCTTTAAAAAAAAAAAAAAAAAAAAAATTCTGTAGATAGATAATGGTGGTTGCACAACAACACAAATGTACTTAATGCTACTGAATTGTGCACGTAAAACTTTTTAAAATAGTAAATTTTATATTACACCTATTTTACCACAATTTAGAAAACAATGAAAGCATAAACCAAGAACTAAAAGAAATAGGTTGCCTATAGGGAGAGGGAACATGGGCCGACTAGACTTCTTTCATTATATTTGTTATATCATTTGACTACAGCAACAAGTAACTGTATATCA